ACACGGACCTACAAACACACACACACACACACACACGGACCCACACACACACACACGGACCTACACACACACACACACACACACACACACGGACCTACACACACACACACACACACACGGACCTACACACACACACACACACGGACCTACACACACACACACACACGGACCTACACACACACACACACACACACGACCTACACACACACACACACACACACACACACACGGACCTACACACACACACACCACACACAACACACGACCTACACACACACACACACACACGACGACCTACGCACACACACACACACGGACCTACGCACACACACACACCACGGACTTACACACACACACACACACACACACACACACGCACGCACGCACGCGAACCTACACACACGCACGCACGCACGAACCTACACACACGCACGCACGAACCTACACACACGCACGCACGCACGAACCTACACACACGCACGCACGCACGCACGCACGAACCTACACACACGCACGCACGCACGAACCTACACACACACACACACGGACCTACACACACACACACACGGACCTACACACACACACACGGACCTACACACACACACACGGACCTACACACACACACACGGACCTACACACACACACACGGACCTACACACACACACACGGACCTACACACACACACACGGACCTACACACACACACGGACCTACACACACACACACGGACCTACACACACACACACGGACCTACACACACACACACGGACCTACACACACACACACGACCTACACACACACACAACACACACACACACACACACACACACACACACACACACACACACACACACACACACGGACCTACACACACACACACGGACCTACACACACACACACACCACACACACACACACACACACACACACACGGACCTACACACACACACACGGACCTACACACACACAACACGGACCTACACACACACACACACGGACCTACACACACACACACACGGACCTACACACACACCACACGACCTACACACACACACACGGACCTACACACACACACACGGACCTACACACACACACACGGACCTACACACACAACACGGACCTACACACACACACACGGACCTACACACACACACACGGACCTACACACACACACACACGGACCTACACAACACACACACGGACCTACACACACACACACACGGACCTACACACACACACACACGGACCTACACACACACACACGGACCTACACACACACACATGGACCTACCACACACAGCACGGACCTACAAACACACACACACACACACACACACACGGACCCACACACACACGGACCTACACACACACACACACACACACACACGGACCTACACACACACACACACACACACACGGACCTCACACACACACACCACACGGACCTACACACCACACACACACACGGACCTACCAACACACACACACACACACGGACCTACACACAACACACACACACACACACACACGGACCTACACACCACACACACACACACACGGACCTACGCACACACACACACACGGACCTACGCACACACACACACACACGGACTTACACACACACACACACACACACACACGCACGCACGCACGCACGAACCTACACACACGCACGCACGCACGAACCTACACACACGCACGCACGAACCTACACACACGCGCACGCACGCACGAACCTACCACACACCGCACGCACGCACGCACGCACGAACCTACACACACGCACGCACGCACGCACGCACGAACCTACACACACGCACGCACGCACGAACCTACACACACGACGCACGCACGCACGAACCTACACACACGCACGCACGCACGAACCTACACACACGCACGCACGCACGAACCTACACACACGCACGCACGCACGAACCT